TATCAATTTTGTTTTGTTGGATTGAATTTGGTATTTAGCAATTTTGTATTAATTTGGTGTTATCATTAAAAAACCTTTAGAAAAAAGTTATTTTTTTCCATAAATTTGTGTCCAAATTTTTTTGGGTTTTTTGGTTACTTGATACAACTAATTTTTCTGTTTACATGATACAACTAATATCTTAGTGAAGGAAGAGGGCTGATATTTAAAGTAGTTGCTGCACATTTTTCCGTGTGGTTTTATTTTTAAGAACAGCAACTTTTATTTAGCTACAATTATGTAATAATCACACTGAGTTATACTTTTAACTACTATACTATTTTAGCAGTGTATACATTTGTACTTTAAGCCATGTTTTTACAAATAAATTATGGATTTGTCACACAAGATACAGTGTGACTTTATACCCTTATTAAATTGTTATTTGATAAAAATGTATGACATCCAGTGAAAGTATCCAACAATACAGCTATCATTGCTTTGTAAATGCCTGGGCATACTTTGGGCATACTTGTACACAGATACAGTATTGATACTGCTATTAGTGTTTTAGGGTAAAAGCTTGTTCTTTCAATGAAATTTGTAAAGAAGTAATCAGAAAACATCCAGAGAAATTAGTCTTGATTACTATAGTATACCTTCTCAACTACAGATCAGACAGTAAGAACCCAGCACAAAGATATTGCTTTGTCCACTATAGATGATTGCCTCACAGTGTGGATTAATAAGCAAAATTCATGTTGGGGAAGATTGGGATTTCTATTTTGTCTCTTAAAACAAGTACCCTGGGCCCCAGGATATAGCTCAACGACACAGTATCTGCGCAGCGTGTGCAAGATCCTGAGTTTGATTACTGGTACCAAAAAGAAAAGAAGCACATTTGGATATATTTCACAAAATTAGTTTGGCTTCAAATCCAGTCTCTTTTTAGAATACATTCATTAATATTAGAAAATTTCCTTCTCATGGGGAGATATAGGAGTACAAAATGTCCAAGAGAATTTAGAGATTAGGAGTTTGTTTATTATTGATTAGAATCAATTGTTTTGCTGAGGTTAATTTACCTGATCTTTTTCTCAGAAAATTAGGAAACCTAATTCCAGTAGGCCCTCTGTTACATGGTTAAGTTTTTCTTTGTGGAAATCTCTAGCCTGACAATGATTTGGGTAAAACTCTTGCAGTTTGCCATAGCTTTCTTTTGATGCTCAGCATCTTCAGTTCTTGCTTTTATACTTTTGAACTTCTCGTTGTCATGTTTGAAATACAGACGAGACTCCTAGGACTACTAGTAGGGAGGAATAAAGGACTGATATTTTAAAAATTCCATGAAAATATCCATCTACAGAATTTTGCCTAATCACAAAGAAATTTATATTTGACAGCTATAATAGTAGACATGGAATTTAATAAGAAGTCATGTTCCCTAGGTTGAAATAAAGTTTTATGCATTTGCTTTCCTTACCTGCAGTAGAAGCATGTGTATAATGTTTTAAAGCTGAGTAGCCAAAGGGGAAAAAGGAATTGAAAGAGGCTCGTAAGTCAGACAGGGTAATGAAAAATAAATATAGATATTTCAGATTTATGTTTGCATAGTTCATTGTAAAAGTCTGAGCAACTAATTAGTATATTTTTATTAACCCATTCTGTGTATTTACTATTTATACTTCTACCAGAGGGCAACATATTTACATTTTATACTCTAAAAAAACAGTAATATTTATTCACCTCAACCAAAAAGATACACTAGTTCCCATTTTGCTATTTTTCCTACTATAAACGATCTTGGCTTTTTGGGGGGAAGTGTGTTTAAGACAGGCTCACTGTGTGGTCCAGGCTAGCCTTGAACTCCCAGTAATCCTCCTACCTCAGCCTTCTCAGTGCTGGGATTACAGGCATGTACCTGGCTTATTTTGTGGTTGATTCTTTCATTGGCATAAATCTCTAGAGGTGGAATTGCTGAGTAAAAGATATGTCTGCTTTTTATTCTGATAACATATTTTTGACTTTGTACTTTCTAGAACTTGTGTATTTGTGTTTATTCGCAACATAAGGAACTGTAAATTTCCTCCATGCTGTGATAAGTGAATATTATTAGTACATTTTGTTTCGCTAGAGATAGATGCAAATTGATACTTTAAAACTTATGTTTTTGAGTTACTAATGAGGTTGATTTTTTTCCCAGTGTCTTGATTGTCTTTAATTTTTGTCAGAGCTATAATTGGCATACAGCTCCAGCAATCTGCAACAGACTTCTATAAGTAGCTGACTCCCAGGTAGAAGTTACCCCTCTCTACCTTATCCCTTTCCTTGACTGCCGATTGGCTTTGTGTTTAGGTCCAGCGGGATAGGTAATATACCGATATTGCCACTTCCTGATTCTTCAGTTTTTAGATGTTATCATTGGTTTCCTGCTTTAGAGAATGATGGTTTGATTCTCCACCCTGCACCTAGCTCTGCCACATGTACTTCTTCAACTCTTTAACGGAGTTATGAAAGAGAATCCTGTTAATGAACTCCCTTTTTTTTGATCCTATCATTATCTTTTCTTGAGAACTACCAATTCCTGGGCCTTTGGAAGCCTGGGCAAGTCTCATGAATTTCTAAATTGTTATTTTAGAAGACTGTTGGTAGAAATGAATGTAAAAGTATGTAATCCATCTGCTGTCTTTAACTGGAAGCTTTGTGTAATGAAAATCTTTGTGATGAAAGCTATGTGATGTGAAGTAAAGTAGAGGATACAAATCTACCTTTGCGTTTTACTACCTTTGAACAAATTGCTTAAAATCTCTGAACTTTACCACTGGTATGGGATTACTAAAGATACCTGCTTCTGAGTAATGTGAAAATTAAAAGTGATAAGATATGGTATAGTGCTAGGCCAGTTCTGCTGCCTGGTTTTATCTTATTTTTTGTCTCAGTAAGAACACAAATGTAGTTGTTGCTGGAATTGTGAGTTAATCTTGTGAATTTTTTGCTCATGATCTTTGCCCAGTTTTTCATTACAATGCTGTATCTTCCTGATTAGAGATGTGATTTATATAATCTGTCCTTGGTCTTTTTATTTATAGGACTTGGACTATATAATCGTATCTATACCATTTCATGTCATGGTCTCTGCTTTGGTTGTCAGTTTTGGTTTTGAAAGATATCTCTGTTAAAGAAGAAAGGTTTGGGGGCCAGAGATAGAGCTCAGCCACATAGTACCTATCTGGCACGTGCAAAGTCATGAGTTCGATTCCTGGTACCAAAAAAAGAAAAGAAAGGTTTGTGTGTGGGAATGTATGTGTGTAATGTGGCTGTGGTAAAACTAGAGACATAGAGATCAGCTAGGAGGTTATTCTAGCTGTTGAGGCAATTGATGAAAGGATATGAGAGCCTAAATGGGCAGTATTTTCATCAGGTAACACAAAATTTTTTTTTTTATGCCTACCGATATTTTTTTTTTAATTTTAAAAGGCATATAACAATATTAAAATAAATCAGTGAGAGCCTGATATTGGATTTCAAAGCTAAGACAGTAGGGAATCTATCATAGTTACTGTGTTGCATATTGCTATCCTCTAAATAGTTGCTCAGACCACTGGCTTTAGGTCTGCAAAGTCAATCAAACAATACAAACTTTGGGTTGTTCCTTTTTAAAATTTTATTTTAAAGACAATAAAACCAAGCCAAATAGAACAAAAATAATCAAAACAAACAGTGTAAGTGACACAGGACTTCAAAAAAATATGAAATCAACAGTGGTTACCATAATGCCTCTTTTCTTCAAAATAGCTGTGGATACCTTCAAACATAGTAAAAATCAAACAAAACAGAGCACAATAGAACCAATAAAAACAAAACAATGAATGCAATAAAGCAATGAATGCAATAAAATTTCAAAACAAGTCTATAGTAAAATGGCTATAATAATATATCTTGCTATCTTTGAAATAGCTGCCCATGATATCAGATATAGCAAAATCAGACAAAACAAAACAATAAAACCCAACCCAGCAAAACAATGAAAATGATACAGGACTTCAAAACAAGATAATAGAGAATTACCAATGGCTACCACCTTCAAAAGTAGATTCCACATAGTCAGTAGCATTGTTCTTTGAATAGATGATCAGACCACGGCCATCGACCTGCAAAGTCATTGAAACTACCAACACCAGACACCACACGCATCAAATTGCATTTCACCTCAATAGCCATGGTTTCTCCTGATCAGCCAGTTGTTTACTGTGGGGAGTGGAGGTAGGGTGGTGTTGGCTCTTCTTGTTTCCCAGCCCACACACACATGGGAAGGGGCTGGGATCTGGCTGTCTCCTGGTGGTGGTGGCCTGTGCATGGCACTGATTTGCAGGGAGGATTTGCTTCTTGGTGACTTCTTGTTGTCTTCTGCACCGCAGTCTGCAAATGGTGCAGACTTATTGAAAAGGTTAGATTCTGGCTCTAGCTTGTTTCTTTACTTCAGTTGCCATTTTCTCAGTCTATGTTCCTCTAAATCAGCTGGTTGTTTCTGGAGGGCAGGATCATTGCTTCCATTCTAGTTCTCCCCATGCTGCCAAGTCCTCTGCTGGCTCTGCTATGTATCTTATACTAGTTGATTTAGGAAAAATATCATGATTCTTAAAAGCCTTTTTCAATGATTTTCTTATCTTCTGTCCAGCTGGGTATCATGTGAAAACTTAAAGCTTTCTATTTTAGTTTCTATTTCAATTCCCATGTTCATAAAATTTTAGATTCATAAATAATTCTTGAGGGCTAAGATTTATTATCCTGAGTGTATGCTGTTAATAAATTTATTTTCTTTTGAATGTGCTATAATTAAAGTAATATTCCTTGATATTCCATGGTTGTAGTTACAGATTTTTAATTCATCCTTTTAAACTTATAGAATTTTGCTGATTTTTTACTTTAGCCAATATTTTTTTAAATTTTGCCTTGGTTTGTAATTACTTAACTTTATGGTTTTTTGAATAACAGCTCACCTAAATTTTATCTTTCCACAGATTCGGACCAGGATGTAGCACTCAAACTTGCCAAAGAACGAGCTGAAATCGTTGCTAAATATGACAGAGTAAGTATCCATATTTACTTGTTGAGTAAGTTTCATTAGAGAAATCATATAAATAGAAAGAGGTTTATTTTTTGTAGAGCTAAAATTACAGGAGCAATTTGTTTAGTTCATGGGAACATTAAGCTAATCTTATTTCCTCTTACTTCACCTTCAGATTCTCTCCTTTTAGCCACTCTAGTCTCTTCCTATTCAGCCCTGAGATTTGCTCCAGCCACGAGTCATTTACCCTATTACTCTGCTTTGTAGTCTGGGTATCCTGTTGTCTCACTGCCTTGGCCCATCAATTCTTTCCTCAGATACTGCCTTCTGAGGGAGCTCTTCTCTGACACCCATGCTGGTTAATCACCTTTCTTCACCCTGGCACTCTGTATCCCTTTTATTTTTCACTGTAATGCTTATCACCATTCTATATATTTTACTTATTGTTGTCTGCTCTCCTGAATTGGAACTCTGTCATGACAGGGATTTCTTTTATTTGGTTTACTGTTATATCCTAAGTACCTAGAACAGTTCCTGATTTATAGTAGGTATTTGTTAAGTTGTTAAGTGAGTATGGAGAATTTAATGTGCATAGTATGCATATTTTATGTGCATTGTTATAAAACACTACCATGATCTTAGATATTGTACTATGTATGTAATTTGTATTAGCATTTTATCCTTATATTAGTATGGGATCTATTTCTTGATGTCCTAGAAAAACAATTGTGATCTACATGTCTCCTTATATATTACCCTACCTCCTGAGATTTTATAATGAGTTATAGTAGTTATTTATAAATGTCATGTTTTACATTTGCATTACTTTATAATTATGTATTTTTAAAAATTTTTTGATTTGAGAATAGCAAGTACATAAAATTATAAGAAGTCATCTCATCTGTGTTTTGCTTCCATAGGTATTCAACTTAACAGCTGTATTTCCAGAGTATATTTTTAAGTTGGTTGTTTGAAACATCAAATGTGATTACAATTTATTGTTTTTAGGTTTTACTGTGGTCCATGAAAAGCTTAGTTAGGTTATTTCACTGCTTAATCGATAGCATCAGAATTATCATTCATTCATGCTTGCCTGCATCTGCCTCACCCCATGCAGTTACCACAGGCCAGGGTCTGGGCATTTTTTGTTTTATAATACAGAAATGAGTTCAGCAGTGCTTGCTTACAGTGTGCTCGGCATCAGGATCTACTCAGAGAACACAGGGGCAGACATTATAAAATATACTTAGATGGAGGCCTCTGCTAGACAGTTGGGTGTTTAAGTCTAAAATTTGAGTGATTGGTGTACTTTCATTTTAGGCTCCTACACTTACCAGCCTAAGAATAAGTAATACCTAACAGAGAAATGAACTGAGGACAGTACTCTGGTTATATCAAATGAAGCGTTATCCATGACAAAGTCACAGAAGAGTCAGAAAGCATTAGGAGACGTGCCAGAGGCAGTGTCATAGAAGTGGAAGAGGGGATGAGCAACACTGCCAAGTGTGCCTCATGGTTTCTCTGTATGGGGATTTTAGAGTGAAACAGTATGACCATGGATGGCCAATTTTTATTGGAAAGAATTGTTTCAAGGCCAATATAGCTGTGCAGTAAAGCAGTGGAGAGATGAGGCATATAGTCTATTCCTCTGAGAAACTGAAACAAAAGACAAGAAACATTTTTTCCCTGAGAAATACTCACTATGGACCTTTTAAAGTTTGGCAGTTCCTTCTTCAGCTGCTTTCTTAACCCTGTTGCTCCTTTTTATCGGAAGCTTCCCTCAAAAGCCTAGTCTAATGAAGGCTCAGCTACATATCAACTGTTACTAACATACAAGAAGCTTACCTAGTTTGTAATTAGGAATAGTGATTGCTTTTCCAAAAATAGTTGGGCTTAAAAAAATGTTGATTTTTGGTGTTTTTATTTAAAATGCCACTCAATTTTATAAACTTCAAATAATACCTTTTTGTTTGTTTATAATTTTAGGGACGAGAAGGTGCAGAGATTGAACCTTGGGAAGATGCTGATTATCTTGTTTACAAAGTCACAGATAGATTTGGCTTTTTGCAGTAAGTTCCATAAATTAAAATTAACGTTTTTTATTATAATGTTTATATTACATTGATTTTCTTTATTTTTAATAAAAATCCTGTGAATAAGATTCCAGGAATGACCCTAAAATGTGCTTTTTTGGTACTAGATTCCTGGCATTTTAAACCTCTGTGATTAGACTTGAACTATAGTTACGAATACAATCTTTAGAATTTTTTCAGTTTTGATAAGAACATTAAATGCAGTAAATTAGTTGTATTAATAATGTAACAGATTTAAATGCACATGCACAACAATTTGTACTTCTGAAATAATTATAAAATAATTTTTGTATATGCATTTAAAATATAATTAGCAATTAAAACCTTAGTGTTATACAGACTGAAAATGAACATTGTAAAGAAATACCATTGATCTCCCTTATAGCTGTAAATGCAGTAACAAGATTGCTTCTTAAAATTAGTTCCATTTATCCTGAGTTTGTTATATGAATAGGCCACTATAAGATAAAGCAGTTAAAGTAATTTTGACTCTTAAAACACCTCTATAAAATGAAGTGAACTTACTTATTTCGGTTCTGGCACTGTAAATCAGATTCCCACAGACCAAAGACTTCTGTTCATCTCAGTACTTTGTTTGCCTCCATACAATGTAAGATTAACTGAATTTTTATTCAAATTTATCCTTGTCCAGCTTTGTTTATTATAAGTATGAAAAGGTTAAGAATTTAAATTTTATAATGTATGATTTTTTTAAAAATCTTTTTGAGGCAGGGTCTTGCTATGCAGTTCAGGATGGCCTTGAACTCACTTAGTACTGCAGTCTGGCCTTGGTGCTGGGATTACAGGCGTGCACCACTACGTACAAGCTTTATAACATGTGATTAAATTTGAAGGAAAAACATTTCTTTTATAGTTCATAACAGGAGCTTATGATACTAACATCTTAATTTCTCCAGTGTAGCCTTTTCTTGTGTTTAGAAATCATTTTATTGCATATTTTCTGAGGGTAAAGCAAGCAAACAAACAGTTCTAAGAGTTAGAGGGTATGTACCCTTCTTGTGGTTTTGCTGGTTAGTTAACCATTTTTTGCTTCATTTGAAACAAGAATTAGTAACTTTTTTACTTAACTTTGAGGTTTGACAAAATAAATGTAAGAAACTTTATAAAGTTGTGGACCAATATAAGATATTATACCTAATCACATTAGTGTATCTGAAACTTTCTCCTAAATATATTGAGAAGACTTTGAACTTCATTGACCTAACAGAATATTTGATTACAATGTAAATACTGTTAAAATTTAAACCCTCATTTAAACAAAAAAGTCAGCTTTGACTATAAATGTGACAGGAAATAACAGCACACTTGTGTGGGTCAATAATGCAGATCTGAGATAATAAGTGACGTTTCAAAGGACAATTTGTGCAATAAGACTGTTAAGGTCAGTAGGTCTTCAGTTTTCCTGCATATTAGAGTCAACTGGGGAATTGAAAAGATGGGTTCCAGGCTAGATTTTGATTCAGAAGATACAACCCTGTTTATTTTGATCTTTCCAAATATTTCTGATGAGATTGAACTGGTAGAATGTAGTTTTAATCATAAAATAGTTCAAACAACTTTTAATATGTATGAAAATTTATATAGTCTGAAAAATATAGTATTGGAGTAAAATATAGTATGAAAATTTGTATAGTCTATGAATCACCTAGTGTTTTTTCTTTTCGCTTGAAATAATATGAGGTGAGCCTTAGAAACAGGAGCTTTTGATTTGAAAGCCTGCTCCATATTTGACAGTCCAAAAGTCGTAGCCAGTTGTTCTGTACTTCTTATTCTTTTCACTGAGTTCCATTTGGCTTAGCGTGAAAAAGTCAGTCAATCTCTTACTTTAATAATAATTTATATTAATGTTCATTGAACACTTATTTGTGCCTGGCCTTATTCTAAGCCCTATATAAGGTTAGACTCATATTGGAATAGGTGCTCTTTTTACCTCCTTTATTGTAGATGATGAAACTGTAGCACAAAGAGATCAAATAAATTACCCAGTTACATGGACAGTGAGTGTCAGTTCTGGGGTGTGGACTGTGACATTTTCAGTGGCGGACTCTAAACTAGTGTAGTGTACTGCAAGTTATGGTCTCTGGTATTAAATAGGAGAAATACAGAGTAAGTGCTTGAAAATGCCTAGAAAGAAAATGTGAGAAATGTGGAAAGAGTGTTCAAAGAGAATGCTTCTATTGCAATATATCTATTACAATATATTGATTACTTCTATTGCAATGTATTCTATTTGATGATCACTTAGATGATCATTTCTATTATGGTATTCTATGGTATTCTATGGTATTCTATTCTAAGATAGCTAAGCTCACCACTGTTTTGAAATTGAAGCAGATTAGTACCATTTCTTAATAGTGTTTACACTCGTTTTTTGTATTTACTTTGTGATGCAGTCTTAAAACAGGGAGCACAAATGAAAATAATGAACCATAGAAGTAGATTTTAATGTAATATTATACTTCGTTAAATTTAACCAAACCCATTGTTTTTGTTACAATGCTAATTTGTATTGTAGTAAAACACTTTCTCTGGAGATTGCTGTGGTGGGTTTTATTATGTGTTCCTGTAGACTGGAGTTGTTTGTACCACAGAGTAAAGTCACTTAACATAGGCATTTAAATATTACTCCCTGTCATACCTTGACCAAGAGACCATTTCTTTTTACTTTCTTATTTTTAATTTTGATTAGTTCTGTAATGAAACTGGTTTTAAGTTCAATGTCAATACATTAAAATGAAAAAAAAAATAGCCTTGTAACCTCTGAAGCCTTCTGGATTCATATCTAATTACAGTTTTAGAAACTTAAATTACTTGTTATTATATACGAAAGATGGATAGTAATTAACAAGTACAGTATATTATTAACTTGATTTTACTATAGATTTCATAATAAATATCAAAGCTGTTGCCTAACCAGCCTCAATATTGAAATAGCAACATCTTTATTTAGTTCTCAGTGGTGGGGTGTTACCCCAGGTTTTGTGACTGTGATGGAGTTACAGCTGGACAATAGAGAAATCAAGCTTGCTTAATCAAAAATAGCTACTGCTAGTCTGCTCAGCAAAAAATGCTTGGTATTTGGATAATGTTAAATATTGCTTTTAGGTTATGAGTTATTAGTAGCAAAATTGAAAGGAAATTGTACTAAAAATAGAGAAGATGAAATTTCAAAATTTGTGTATTTATAAAGCTGTCTCAGTTTACCTTGACTATACAAATATATGAGCACCAGAATTAAGGTGTTTTTGCCTTTAAAAGATTATCTATTTTGATTACAAAAGCTTGAGAACTCTTTCTACAATCCTATAAATTTTGGGTAGGTCATATCTAAACTTAGGTAAAATTTACTTTGAAAACAATGAAATTTAATCAGTATATTTTTCAACCTAAGATTTAAGTTTACAATCGCAAGTGTATCTTACATTCACAGAAGTCATCCACCCAAGCTGTTGAGAATAGAGGCAGCAAGCTCTAATTATCAATAATTTCAAGTTTAATGGTAGATAACAAATATATATCCAGCTAGTCTGTCTTTTCCCTGGAGAGCTCTGTTACTGTTTTACTTACTGTATTTCTAAAAGATGTAATTGTTTGCCAGCTTAGTGTTTTCTTTATACAACCTTTAGGAGCCAATAAGCTCTTATTCTCGAAAGCAGGGGTTAGCAAACATTTTGTGTAAAGATAGAGGCTGAATGGAATTGGCTTGTGGGCCACGTGATCTTTATCACAACTGTATCACTCTACCAGTGTAGCATGAAAAGCATAGACAGGGCCTGAATGAATGGCATGGCATTGTTCTCTTATACCTTTGTCCACAAAAATAGGCAGCAGGCCAGATTTGATACATGGGCCATACCTAAAGAAATACTCCACATTCATCCATATTATAGTTTCTCCATTCCTCTGCTTGAAGAATATGTGTAGGTTGCAAAGTAAAGATACATCTGTGCATTTTCACAGGAATGCATTTGACATTCCATCCCATCCATTCAGCATTTACTAAGCTTTTTCAGTGTGCCAGTGTACATTTGAGAACTCTTGTGGAGCCCTTGACAAGATACCATTCTTCTGCGTTCTCTTTGAAAAGCTGTTGACATTAACATTTACCAACATAGAGACTTGTGGGGGGAAAGTTCTATGGAGATCTGTGTCTGCCCATAGCATATTTTGTGTGAAAAGTTTTAGGGATAAGAAATAATAAAGGAAAATCTGTGTAGGAAAACTACACCACATTTTTATATTATCCTCAATCTCTGAGGTTCAAAATCTTTTTTTGTATTTAATTCTCAAAGTTTTTCTTCTTGCAAATTGGTTTCACAACCTCTGTTCCTTTACTTATATGTTCTAGCACTAGCTGAATATCTTAGTTTGAATCCACTGGATTACATAGTATTGAAACATTTCTATATTGGACTAAGTAACTAAGTGAAAACATTAGTTTTCTTAGCTGTGAAATGATGGATCTAAACTCCTAAAACCTCTTTTGGTGTTTACACTTTTTTTGTTAGTTGTGTTGCTGTGGATCAGTGGTTTTTCTAAGGACTCTGCACAGTAGCGGAAGAGTATGCTGAACATGCTGAACTCTTAGAGTATTAATGTGTTATACTCTTTAAAGTGGTACTGTTTGGTTGCAAGAAGAAGATAAAGAAAAATATATACATATTGTTGACAAAATATCAGTACTACTGAGAAGGGTACTGACTGAAAGCATTTTACTTTATGGGTAGCATTGTTTTTATACTATTGATAATTAATATGAGAGTTTCCAATTATTTATATTAGATGTTGTTTCATATATGTACCAGAGAAACGATGTTGTTTTGTTTTGTTGTCTTTTTGAGACAGGGTCTCACTATACCCAGTTCAGGCTAACCTTGAACTTAATGTGTAGCCCAGGTTGACCTCTTAACTTGCAACACTCCTCCTCTTCAGCCTTCTGAATGCTGGTTTTACAGGCATGCACCACTACACCTGATGATCTTCTCGTACATTTTTAAAATATAAGCATATAGCTCAGTGGCAAAGTGATTGCCTGACAAACACAAGGTCCTGAGTTCAGTTTTTAGTACCAAAAACAAAGCAAAACAAATCTCTTGATGTTTTGCCTTTTTTTTTTATTATACAAAACAGAAGTGGATTTTTGTTACATTCGTAAATTCATTGGAGAATGTTTTTAAACAGTCATTTATTATAGACCATAATTGGAGCCAAAAGTGGAGGGGGTGATCTAGGGTAGAGAAGTTGGCAGACTGACCTGAGGGGCCAAATTCAGCTCACCAGCCATTTTTGTAAAGGTTCTGTGGGCACAATGCCACACTTGGTTTACATATTATATGTGACTACTACTTCACTGGAACATCAGAGTTGAGTATTTGTAGAAAAGACTGTATGATACCTAAAACCTAAAATATTTACTGTTTAAATATTTGCTGTGACAAAAGAAGTATGCTGACAGTGCTCTAGAACTTTCTGCAGTGATGGAAATGTTCATTATGGCAATCTTTACCTACATGATTTTCATGCACTTGAACTGCATGAAGTATACTGAATGAGCCACGAGTGGCTGGTGGCTGCTGTACAGGACAATGAAGGTGTGAAAATTTGAAGACATAGCATTATTACAGAATAGAAACTGGAATGGAAACCTGTAACTCTTGTGATGTCCAGTAAATCTTGCACATCTTGTGTACCTATAGATATGTCAGTTTTAAAAGTTTGCTTTGATTTCAGCCATTTCACATGTATTATTATCTTCTGCAGTGAGGAGGAGCTCCCAAATCATAATGCAGCTGTGGAACGGGTAAGTCTAGTTCTTAATTTATTTGTAGTTACTGGTGAATTGCATTTGTTAGGGGGTAAAAATTTCCATTGTGTTTTTGAGTGCTATTTTACATGCAGCACTCATTCTTAGGATTTGACACTAATTATATCACTCTTAAAAAGGTAATTTAACTAATGATAAAATCATTTTAAGAGAGTTTATGAGATTCTGCTAGGTATTTGAAAGCAAGGAAACATACCAGTTACTAGAAAAGATCTGCCCTGTAGGATGTCCCTGATCTCACCCCAGCCCCACGTCAGTCTGTGAACTCTCCACTTTCGGGTAAGAACCTGGGCAGCCAGTTTTTAAAAGTTTCACAAGTGATTCTCATATGCTCTTGGCTGATAAGGTACCATTCTAGGCCAGTAACTGTTCAGGGAGATTTTAATGAATTTCCCCAAATAACAAAAAACATTTTGACTGCTTGTCAAATATCTGAGCATTTGAAGGATTTAGACAAGTGTTACATAGCAAACCTGTCTGCTTGTTTTTAGCTTTTCCTCTGCTTGGTAAGGAACTCTTTTCACATCTAGATGTGCATGAAAAGGCTCGGAATCTCCCTCTCCTTCCCATGTTTTCTCTGCCTCCCTGTAAATAAGTTGTAGAATAAAAGCGAGCATGTGAATGTGTATTGTCTTCTGTTGGTGTGTGTATATCTGATATGGGGCTGGGAGAAGGATCTGGGTTTCAGACAATGAAGATGAACTTGAAATTTTAAAAATATTTTAGAAAATTTAAGATCAAAATGGTCTGAAAGTCAAGATTGTAACAAAACCTTAATGTAGATAAAATTGCCATTTTATGTTTATAGATATCCCTATGGGTACTTCCCGTAGTTGAGACTACCCTGGACAGATGCTTTGGCTAAGGAGTTTCCTTTAGTAGCTACATTATTGAGTAACAGCTGTGTGTTCAGTGCTAGACTAGCTCCTGCATGCAGTTCTGGTATGGAATAAACTACGTTTTCTGCCTTTGAGAACCTAGTGTCACTAGAGGAAGGTCAAGTGAGACAATAGGAGATTTCTGGTGGCTTTCGGGACGTGTAGTTAGTGGAATGAAATGGTATTCTAGAGGCAAGGAAGACAGAATGCATGAGAAAGAAGTGACAGTGATACTGATCGTTGTGTTAATTCTGCCTGTGGTGAACTTTTATTAGCCTACTTTGAGTGGTAACAGGAAGATTTTCTCTGGCCCTGTAACTGTTGCCATCACCTTTTGTCTAGTCTTCAAGTTAGCTTATCCTCTGACACACTGATGATACACGTACTCCTTTCCCTGCTTGGATTCTGTTGTCCCTTTACAGGTGTTCTCCATCTTACTTGATTCCACTTATGATGGCATGATAGTGATAACCAATTTGAAAATATATTTCAAATTTTTTTTTTCTGAGTTCAATACTCAGATCTACCAGTTTTCTCATCTGAGTAACTCCACTCTCCCAGTTGTTCAATCTATAATCTTTTGACTTATCTTCGATTTCCTTTATTACCTGTCATCCCATCTGTCAACAAGTATTGTGAGCTCTGCCTTCACAATGTGTTCTGAATTTGATGACTCTTCTAGTATCCTGTCCACTCTAACCTCTGTCTTGGAGCTTCCTGTCTTCCTCCTCTTCCCACTGTTGCTTTTTTCCTCACGCTCCTACTTGTTCAGCTAAAAAAATCAGAATGATCCTGTGAAATTAAGTAAGATAATGTTGCATTCCGGTCAGAGAACCTTATGGTGGCTCCCCATCTGATGCACATTTAAGGGAAGTCCTGAGAATGACTCCAGAGGTCTGTAGAAACTTGTTTCTGTTGGTTCCCTGCTCCTATTGCCTGCTCTTTCTCACTTGCTGACTGCCTAGTGTCTCCTGAACGTATTGGCCAGATTCCCTCTTTCCGGTGTTTTGTGTTGGCTGCTTCCTCTTTGGAGTGCCCTTTCTGCTGAGCTCCAGGCTCCGTCCTTCATTTCCTTTAGGTATTGCTTAAATGTCACCTGCACAATAACACTGACTCTAGCAAGACTGGCAGAGGTTGTCCTTTAAAGTGTTACAATGTCCTTTATTTGAGAAATTAGGAAGAGAAGAATTGGAAGATTTTTTTTTAAACAAAAGATACTCATATTTAGTAGAATAAAAATTTAGCAACCCAGTATTGACTTTTTTTCTCCAACTGCCTCTCCCTCTTTTTGTCATTTCCTGATCCAGAAAGTGCCCAGTCCTCAAACCAGTGATTTAGACTCAAGAAATTGGACAAGGACAAAGATGAAGTGATATATGAGGCAGAGCTAGCAGAGAATTCATGCTTAAAAAAGGCTATTTTCTTACATTTTTATTTGCTTTTTAAGAGACTTACCTACATAATAATACCTCTTACATAATGAAATTAAGCTGATAACTGATTCTTTACCTGGGAGAGGTTAATATAATGGAGAATAACTAAAATGTGATCTATGTAATTTAACTTATTTAATGATTCACTTAAAACATTTTGTCCATCTTTTATTGGATCAAGGTCAGAATTCTGAATTCAACAATTGTGATTCCATAAGGCTTTTCAGATATCACCTGCATTCATTGAATTGCCATTTACAGTTTTGGCTTCTTTAAAGTAGAATGAGAGTTTAGCCCCATGCAAAACAGTTGAAGACTAGAAACTTCAGGTTAGCAAATTTCCCTCTGGTGTTTCTGCTTTAGATCATGGATTCTCTGATGACTGCCTAGTCCTAGTGGTCATGCTCTGACATTTCTAGGTCACTAATAAATTTACATTTTATAATTGAATGAAATCAGTGCAAATCATAGCCTTGCTGAAGTCTGTAGTCTTTACGGAGCATACACTTGAAACATGTACTTCTTGGTATTTGGGGAACTAATGTACTAATGTGTAATCAAGTAATCATGGCTTTAGTTCTGACTTTAGCTATGTACTATTTTATGTAACACTTCTTCATTTAAAATAGGAGTAGGGATCCTCCCTCATAAGAAGATTAATATTGGTGTTTACAACGTACTTTGGGTTCCCCCAAACAGGCACTTAAGCAAATAAACATACTTATTATATTTACTCTGAGAGAATAATATTAATAATAGATTATATTGTTTCTCTGAGCTTATTAATGTTTTTAATAAGGAGGAAAGATTATATAAAACCATAAATTTTCTTAGATTCATCTATTTCTTCATGTAGTACAATATTTTAGGTGATGTGTGAAATGTTGGAGCCTATCATTTCTTTAAACACTATACCTTAATCTTAGATGATTTGAAGTCTTGCTCATTAACAATAGAAGTTGCAAAATCAGAATGTGTGGAAATAGACCTGGCCCTCCTTGTACTTCTTGTCCTCTCCTGACCTCTGCTGGTGGGAGCTGGGCATGGGTGGTACCTTCACTCTTGGGTCTTGAGATGAAAAATAAACTGTAAGAGATAGGGAAAACTGAGTGACTTTTTATATTCTCATACTTTACATAGCACAGAACACTTCTGATCACCAAGAAGTATTTGGATTTTCCCCATATACCAAGCAATTCCCCAATGGAGACTGATTATTATATAATTTAGCTCAATTCTAACACTAACCAGAATTAATACAGATCCAGAATTAAGGGCAGTCTTACAAGACATCAAAGACAGATTGAAAGCCACAAGTTGTCACCATGGTTTTGGACTGACAGGATGTAAATCAGGGGTACCCCTCGACCCTCCCTTAGATTTGATTGTTAGCTAGAGTAGCTCACAGAATTCAAGTGTTTTATTTACTAACATTTATTACTCAGAGGAAACAGTTGAGGAACAGCCAAATGGAAGACACACAGGGCAAGGTACAGTGAGGTACCATGCCCTCTTTGGGTATGCCATGCCCCACAAGTTCACCACCTTCAGAGCTCTCCAAACCCATAGTGCAGGGACTTTTATGGAAGTTCTGTGATGTAGGCAAGGTTGGTTGTTACCTCAGTCTTTTTTTCTCGAAAGGTAGAGTGTAGAGCAGATCCAGGAGCCCACCAAGGTTTACCTGAAAGAGCCACAGATTCTCCTATAATTCCACGGAAATCCCAGGGGTTTTAGAAACCAGAAACCAGGACACAGACCAAATACATATTGATTATATCACAGTATCATGCTAATATTCAAATGGGGGATCCATAATAGCATATGAATAGTTAAAGTTTGAACAAGTTTAAAATTTCTTACTCTAGAAGAGAAGGCTGTTTAATCATTCATCCATTCATTTGTAGGGTGTTTAACTTTGTTTGAATTCTTAGCCATCTGACTAGTGACAGGGGTTTGGGGCAAGATAAAAGCCATGTGGGCAACCCAACAAATAGGTAATACTTACTGTTTAATACTTACTGTTCATTTGGTTCTGCACAGAGTTCAAAATAATGGTCTCAGATTCCTAAAGTAATCTGGAGTAACAAAAGAAGATAATGAGTTTACTTTTGATCCTTGTGTTCTCCTTGCCCTAATAGGAAAAATCTGTTGACTTGGAGGCAACATCAGTTTAAAACAATAGGTTATTGTTTCATAAACTTAACGCAGAAATTTAGTTCTTTCCCGAAAACAGCTCCTGGGGCATACCATGCTGTTTTTTCAACCAGTGAAGCAAAGGGAATAATGCAGAGATCAAGACCATTGTATTATTTGGAAATTTTGAGAGGAAGACGCTTTTCTTATGCTAAGGTCTTCTATGTATAGTTTATAAAAGAACAATAATGAGCACACTCAGTACCTAGGCCTTAGTTTTTAAACAGCACTTTCACTAAAAACAAACAAACAAATAATGTTATGGCTTGTGTCTAGATGTCCCTCCAAAGCATCATATAGTCATATATGAGGATTTTTCAGAGGTGACTGGATCTAGATTGTGTTACACTGGAATTGAGTGCAATGCTAGAATTAAGTGTGTGAGTGCTACCCACCCGAAGTGGCCTGGGTACGATATAAGGATAGTGCTGTGGTTAACCCTTATTGCTTTGTTATCTTTGTCTGGCACAAA